TGTATCCTGAGAATTATGCTGTAGGAAAACAGCCAATCCTAAAAGGAAGCTCATGGCTGTGATTCCATTTCTACAGTATTCTCAGAATGACAAAACTACAGAGATGAAAATAGGCTAGTGGTTGCCACAGGTTAGCGTTGATGGGAGGCACACAGACAGACACACGCACACTGACACAGAGACACACACGCGGACACAGAGACACACACACAGAGATACAGACACACAGACACAGAGACACACACACACAGATACAGACACAGATACAGACACACAGACACAGAGACACACCCACAGATACAGACATAGATAGAGACACACAGACACACAGACACAGAGACACACACACAGAGACACACAGACACGCACACAGATAGAGACACAGATAGACACACACACAGACACAGACATACACAGATGCAGAGACACACACACACAGACACACAGACGCAGACACACAGACACAGACACACAGATGCATACACATACACAGACATACACACATACACAGACACAGATAAACAGACACAGAGACACACACACAGACACACAGCCACAGACACAGATGCAGACGCACAGACAGACCCACCAACGAAGGCAGGTGAAACTGGTGAGATCTGAGTAGGGGCTGTGGTCTTGCACTGTGGTTCTGCGGGATGTCGCCCTTGGGGAGGCTGAAGGGCTCACAGGATCTGTCTTATTTCCTACAACTGCATGAGACTATAATTGTCTCAAAATAAAAAGATTTTTTTAGCAGACATTTCTTCCAGTGAAACCCCATTGGGAAGCCCAATACACGTGGCAGACAGAAGTGGCGAAGCTCCGGTGGACAGTGAGGGCTGTGAAGCCGGGCCCCAGCTCCTGCCCACCGGGGGTCCCCGGTCACCTCTGTGGGCTTCAGGCCCCTCTGGGCATCGGTCAAAAATCCTCAGCCCTCCTGTCATTTCAGGAGGACCTTTTTTTTTTTTTTTTTTTTTTTTGGTTGGTTCCACTTTCTGGGGAAATTGAAATAAACAAACCCTGATACCTTGATTTCTTTGTGGAAAATGTGTGTGGGTCACTTGGCAGCGCCCTCTCCCGCCGTCGAGTTCAGGAGGCTTAGGGTCCCTTCTGCAGCCCGGGCCGAAGGCCTCGGTAGAAATGCCGCTTCCTGGAGGCCTGGCTTACTTAGTTAGGAATGTGTTAGGTGGGGAACACATGTGTGCTGCGTACGATCCCAGATGTCCCCTGGCTGTGTGCAACAGGCCACCAGCGTTCTGCCCTGGGGAGGGGGGCGGGAGCAGGTGCAGGGGCAGGGCGGGGGCAGGGCAGTGAGACAGTGAGAACCCGCCCTGGGACTCTTGTGGACTCTTGGGAAAGAAGCACTCCCCTCGTCCCCAGGGCTGTCCAGCTGCTTAGGAACAAGCTCTCGGCCTCCAAGGCCATGGTGGCTGCAGAGAGGACCCCTGGAGGAGAAAGAAGGAAGGCAGGGAGACTCTGGAAACACATCTCAGCCAGGGGTGCGGCCACCCTGGCACTGCCAGCCCCACCTACACTTTCCAGTCACGGTCCCCTTGCTCAGGGAAGCCCTGGGGTGGGCTCCGCGTCCTGCTCACTAACAAGGTGTCTCACTCTGCACCCTAACCACAAAAGGGCAGGCCACAGCACCTGCCACACCCAGCAGGGCAGGTCAGCATCGTCCCAGGGGATTCCATGAAGTCAGGGGGGCTGGGGAAGACTTCGAGGTGCACACAGGACCCTCATGGATCCGGGGGGCGCTGGGGGAGAATGTGGAGTACATGTGAGACTCTTGTGGATCTTGGGGGGGCTGGGGAGAATGGGGGGTACATGCAGGAGTCTTGTGGATCCCAGGGGGTTGGGGTAGAGTGTGAGGTGCACGCAGGACCCTCAGGGATCCCACAGGGCTGGGGGGGAGTGTGGGGTGCATGCAGGACCTTCAGGGATTCCGGGGGGCTGGGGGAGAGTGTGGGGTACACGCAGGACCCTTAGGGGTTCCAGGGGGCTGGGGGAGAGTGTGGGGTGCATGCAGGACCCTCAGGGATCCTGGGGGGCTGGGGGAGAGTGTGGGGTGCATGCAGGACCCTCATGAATCCCGGGTCTACATCGGTGTGATCACGTCCCCAGATGAACTCCCCAAGCCTTCGAAGTTCCTCTGGAACTGAGTCAATATTTAACCCATCTTCCCATTTGTTTTCCATTAGAACGCGCATCTGAAACCCTTCATTAGCCTGTCCTTCCAGAGAATAATGACTAATTTCTGGCGGTAGTTTTTCCTTATCCCACAAAGGCACTCTGTAGAACCCTTCCATTACTGTAATTTACTGATGGAAGAGATGGAATTGCAGAGATGGTTTCCAAGTCCTGAGGAGGCTGCCACTGACAGCAGCAAGCCACACGCTGCGTGGACACCATCTCTCCCCGCCTGGCCCAGGTGTGCGAAGGGTGCCCGAGGTGGGCTGGACAGCGGCTCCTCCAGCTCTGTCCTGGCCTTTGCACAGAGACAGCTAGTTCTGGGACCAGAGACAGACTCCCAATCCCCCAGGGCCTCTGAGAGCTGTGGACATTTAACTCAATATAGTCCTGGAAAAGCTCAGGAGTAGTGGGAAGAAGGCTTGACTCTGGGATCCTGGTTGTCAACGTGTCCTCTTGCTGCCCAGCCATGTGCAGCCCTGCAAATGCCTTGGCAGCCAGGCTCTCCAGGCTTGGCCTATGCGGACCTCTGAGGCCACGGCTCTGCAATTTGCTTTTGTTATCCTAATGAGCAAAGCCAGTAGCGCTTTTGGGAAGACTTTTGCTATTGATTTTTAAAAAAGTAAGACATGGGAGGTTTGATTTGTGATAAGAGAGGCCAGGAAAATCCAGGCACCTTTAAATAGCATCCTGGGTCTCGGGGAGAGAGGCCAGTGGATATCTGTATTAGGAGCACGCGCTGTCCTGCCGCCCACTCCACATCTGCACCCTCGAAGGGGCTCCAGTGTCCTCATCCATTTGCTTCAGCCGCCTGGAGCTAATCGGCCTACCCACTGCCGGCCCCTCAAGGGACTGCTGAGGACCAGCAGCACGGTTCCAGTGAAACAATGTCACATTTATTCCCTTCGGTGACACCAGATGCACACATGTCTCATAATCCTGAAAGACACAGTCAGGGTGTAATTCACCCTGTTTGCACTGCAGCCTGGGGCCGACCAAGGGTGTAATTCACCCCGTTCACACTGAAGCTCTGGGCTGACCAAAGGGTCTAATTCACCTTGTTCACACTGCAGCCCGGGGCCGACCAAGGGTGTAATTCACCTTGTTCACACTGCAGCCCAGGGGCCGACCAAAGGTGTAATTCACCCTGTTCACACTGCAGCCCAGCCGACCAAGGGTGTAATTCACCCTGTTCACACTGCAGCCCGGGGCCGACCAAGGGTGTAATTCACCCCGTCCACACTGCAGCCCGGGGCCGACCAAGGATGTAATTCACCCCGTCCACACTGCAGCCTGGGGCCGACCAAGGATGTAATTCACCCCATCCACACTGCAGCCCGGGGCCGACCAAGGGTATAATTCACCCCGTTCACACTGCAGCCCGGGGCTGACCATGCAGCTACCTCTGCCAACAGGCATGGTAAAGGTTTTCCTTCCCGTCCCAGAGCCGGGATGCTGCCGCCCTTCGAAGGGGCCCTGCAGGGGCATGTGGTGCCCCAGGAGCTGGCCACGGCTCTGGGCTCTGGGTGCCCTGGATTTCAATGCATAAACAGCCTCCCCATTTGCCCAGCACTGCCAGCCTCTGTAGAGCCTGGAAGCCGTCGCTTGCCGGGCAGTGGCCAGGGGTGGGGCTGCTGGTGAGAATATAGGGCACCCCATTAAACCTGAAGCTCAGGTCAGCAAGGACGACTCTCTCAGTGTAAGTCGGTCCTCAATGGTGCTTTCGCCATACTGTGAGGTGTTTTTCTGTCTCTCTGAACTTCACGTTTACCTGAGTGTCTTGTACTTCAGGGGCAGCCCCAGCAGAGTGACCTCATCTTCCCCCGACCCAAGCCAAGCCAGGCAAAGGTTTGGCCCAAAGAGGACCCTTCTTCATTCCCCATGCAGCCCCATTGGGAAGCTGCTCCCCACACACTGGAAGCCAGCTGGGGTTGTTAACCTGCAGACCTGGGCCACCTATGGGGTCTGGATGAACAGGCAGGGGCTGGGGAGCCTGCAGGGATGCCCAGGTTCCAAGCCATGTGTGCCCTGAGGGTGTGGGTAGCCACTTCGTCTCTCCAGCCTGAGCCTCCTCACTGCTGGTGGGGGAATGCCTGCTTCTTGGCAGTCACAGGGGTCAGAGACTGCCAGACATGATATGCTCAGCTAGGGCCCCACATGTGATAAAGAGGGTGCCACCACCTGTGCCAGGGTGAAGTCTCGGGGGCAGGCTCTTGGATCAGCTCTGAGCCAGCAGACGGCCTTAGCCACAAGGGGCTCACCTCTGCAAGGGGAATCTGGGTCTCCCTCTCTTCCCGTTTAGCTTGGAACCAAATCTTAAGTGTAGCCGGGAGGACTCCAGTGGCCTCAGCTCTCTGAACTCACCGCTTCCCCAGGGCCCTGGCACATGTGACTTGCTCACCCAGCGTCCCCAACAGCCAGGAGCCCACCCCAGCCCCGCTCTGGGTGCTGCGCCTCCTCAGGCTTCAGCTCCCAGCCCACGTGTCAGTGCACAGAGGGGCCTGCCTGGGCCCATGACTGAGCCAGGACTCCAGCACCTGGTTTTCCTTCTGAGCCTGCCATTCCTGCCATGGCTGCCATCGCTTCTCCTGTGGTCTGCACCCTCCTCGACCCCGAGGCCTGTGGGAGCAGGGACTTTGGTGGATGCCTGCTTTGTGCTGTGTGTCTGTGCCCGAGTCCTGGGGCCCCATCCCGGTGTCGGGGACTGAGCAGCACTCCCCAGCCCTCGGGGCCTGTGTTTGGCCTGCAGAGCCCGGGGGGCCTCCAGCAAGCACACTCGAACGTGCTCCCGAGCGTGGCCTCAGCCTCACCTGGCTTGGAGCCCTCGTCCACGGAGCCGTTGTAGACTTGGTTGATGAACTCGGGACGGTTGTCGTTCATGTCGATGACGTAGATGTACAGGTCGATGGGGTTCTCCACCTTGTTGCCGTTCATGTCCACGGCGTGGGCTCGGAGCTGGAAGGCAGCAGAGACACATCAGGGTGGTGGGTGGGCACCCCCACTCAGCTGAGAGCGGCCCGTGGGACCCGAAGCACTGGGGTGTGAGGCTGATGGCAGAGGCAGGCTGGCGAGGGGCCGGGGGCTGGACACGTCATGGAATTCTCCGAGCCTCAGCTCTCTCCTCTGCAGAGCAGGCGACGCACAGAGCTGGAAGCCAGCCTAAGCCCCGAAGCCCCACGGCCAGGCCCACCCAGGACCTCCCACACCTGCCTGCCTGTTCCGTGAGCCAGCGACTGATCTGATCAGGTGTCTGGAGCAGGACAGGTGCCCCTCGGATGGGGTCATGTCCGCCCACAGTGGAAACAGAAAAGGCATTTGTGCCTAATTGGATGGGGGCTAGTCCCCAGGGGAGATGGGCGTATGCAGAGAGGCTGGAGCTGGGGCTGGGAATTGGGCCCATTTGGGCGCCCACTGAGAGCCCAGCCTGGACAAGCTCCAGGCTCCTCTGCGTCTGGTGACCCGTCAGTTCTTGGGCTTGGCACAACAGGGGAAAATGTGTGGTGCTGGGGGCACCGATGGAGAGGCCAGGCCGGGAAGCCGGTGAGGAGCTCCTGGGACATCACGGAACCGCCTTCAGGGTGAAAAGGGAAGAGCTGGACTTGGGCTGGAAGGTGCCACAGCAGCTCTCAGAGTCACCCCTCCAGTTCTGGATTTGTTCTTTCACTCATTCATTCATTCATTCCGCAGCTGCCCATCAAGGGCCTGGAATGCCAGGTGCGGGGCTGGACCCTGGATTACTGTGCACTGAAATCAGCCAGAGTGGCTGCCTGGAGCGTCCATCCCAGGGACAATGGACACCAGGAAGAGAAGAAGCCATCAGTGGGTGTGGTGGCTGCCAGCGAGGCCTCTCAGAGGAGGGGCTGCTTGAGCTGAGACCTTGAGAACCAGGCAAGGAAGAGGACATGGAGACGCTGGGCACTGCTGGCAGGCGAGGGGGCTGCCAAGGGGCTGCCAGAGAGTGGAAAGCGTGTCCCAGGCCTCTCCACTCAGAGCTGGATGGTCACCCAGAGGGGTTCTCAGCTCACGTCTTTCTGCCAAAACCCCACATCACCCTCGAAGTTGGACACAACAGACCTCAAGGTATTTGTAGCAAGACATCACCAAGCCCAGGGTGGCCGGGAGAGGAGCCCCATGCCGGAGGGGTCCCCACGTCATCCCTTGGTGGCTGGCCTCACACGGCCACTCCCTCTTCCCCGACCTCTGGGGATCGGGGGGTCCTACATGCCACACCTGCCCCAGGGAGACCCGGGAGCTAACTGCATCCATGCCCACACCAGTGTTCTGGCTTGGTTCCAACAATCCAGAGTGGAATGTTACCCCCTACACTGCATGTTTAGGGAAGATCTGGAGGCTGGCTTTCCCCAGGGAGGCAATCTGTGCTGTAGTAAAGAGACAAACCAGGCCTGACTCCTGGAGGAACTGCAGACTGCAGCCCGAGACGCAATGCGCACACGCCAAGTCGGCTGTACGTGTCACGTGTGAACAGCCTGGAACGCTGCGTGGTGGCTGTAACCAGCCGCCCCCGTCCCGTCACCACAGATTCCTCCATCCCCACCCATCTGCGGCTCCGTCCTGCCGTGGATGTGCTTCCACGGGCGGCGGTTGGGAAATGCAGCCACGCAATCACACGCCCAAAGTAATTCTGAGCTACAATTAAAGTTATTATCTCCTATCGAAAGCAGTTCAGGTGCTATCTTTAGCAGCAGGAGCAGGCGGAGTGCAGATGACGAGGAAACGCTGCCTCCTCCGCCTCTGTGCGCGGCCTGCGTCCTCCTTGTCCCACTCCCTGCCTGACCCCCAAAAGTTTTAATTACATTTGACAGCTCCTGTTGGAAATCTCCCCCACCCATCTCTCGGGCTGGGCACAGCCGGGTGGGCCCGAGAGAGGTGACCTCGCCATGGTGGTGAAAGAAACAAACAAATGTGGGTGGGAGAGTCCTCTGAGCTTTCTGCGACCTGCAAATCTGAGCATCAGGCACAGAGCGCATTTCCCACAACACTTTAAATAGGACATTTTGTTTTTTTGAGACAGAGTCTCCCTCTGTCACCAGGCTGGAGTACAATAGCACGATCTTGGCTCACTACAACCTCCACCTCCTGGGTTCAAGTGATTCCCCTGCTTCAGCCTCCCTAGTAGCCAGGACCACAGGCATGTGCCACCATGCCTGGCTAATTATTTTTTACTTTTTATTTTAGTAGAAACAGGGTTTCACCATGTTGGCCAGGATGGTCTCCATCTCCTGACCTCATGATCCACCTGCCTCAGCCTTCCCAAAGTGCTGCAATTATAGGTGTGAGCCACCCTGCCTGTTCTTGTTCTGGGATAAAAGATAAAGAAATATAATATGTGGATGTAGCTTGCATTGGGTGGGCTGTGCTGGGCGTGGCTTGCATTGGGGTGAGATGCACTTGGTGTGGCCTGAATTGGGTGGGATGAACTGGGCGTGGCCTGCATTGGGTGTGATGCCCTGGGTGTGGTTTGCATTGGGTGGGATGCCCTGGGTGTGGTTTGCATTGGGTGGGATGCCCTGGGCATGGCCTGCATTGGTGTGATGCCCTGGGTGTGGTTTGCATTGAGATGAGATGCACTGGACATGGCTTGCATTGGGTGGGCTGCACTGGGCGTGGCTTGCATTGGGTGGGCTGCACTGGGCGTGGCTTGCATTGGTGTGGGATGAGCTGGGTGTGGCTTGCACTGGGTGGGATGTGCTGGGGGAAATGTGTCTGTTGACAGATGACCCTCCAGGTGTGCCTGGGATCTAATTCTCCCGCCTCTCAGCTGCTCTCTTTTCTTCCTATCTTAATTGTGGGTGAGGGTTCCCTTCAAGGAGTGTGGAATTGGGAACAGGGGGCCTTGGGAGTGGTGGAGGGGTGTGCGTGTTGGAGATTTTCCTCATCAGTCACATTGGCGCCCACATACACCATGCGTTTGCTGGGGCCAGGCAGTGCCGTAGGAACCTACACACGTGAATGCCAGCTTCCACCAGTGTCTGTGAGATTGGTGTTGTCTCGGTCCCTATTTTACAGATGGGGAAACTGAGGCTCAGGAAGGTTGGAAAATGTTCAGAAGATGACAGTGTGTGGCCAGGTGAGCTGGTATGTCTAACTTACGGAATCCTCAAAGGAATTTTCTGGAGCAGCGCCCTGCAAAGCCAGCAGTGAGCACTCGTGCATTTGAGTGTTTACCGGCTGGCTCTAGGGTGACAGGCGTCACAGTCGTCAGGACACCCAGGCTGGGGGTGCATCCTTGCCACCCTCGTCAGCCCACAGAGCTGGGTGGAAAACGGAATGGGATCAAAGCACACTGGGGAGACAGGAAACTCTGAGGGGCCCCGAGGGTGGCAGGTGCTGGCCCCGGAGGCCAAGACGGACATGCTCCCTCCCGACTGGGCTACGTTTTCCACCTTAAGATGGAGCTGGCTGGGCATCATCCAACCACGGGGGCCTTCGGAAGCTGAGTGCTCTCCAGCTAGGGGTAGGAGGGAAGGACACGCGGGCTCCGGCGCACCTCTGTCTCCCGTGTCTCTCTCTGTGTCTCTGCCTCCCTCTCTGTCTCCGTATCTCTATCTCTGTGTGTTTGTGTCTCTCCCTGAGCCCTTGTTCTGTAGCTATTTCTTGGCAGTAAGGACTGTTGAGTCCCCATTCCTGGGCCTGTTGGGGACGCGTGGTGACGGCAGCCCGAAGCCCATTTTGGGAGCTGGCAGCCACGCCGAGGGCCTGTCTCTTGCTGCGCAGTGGTGGGCATCAGCCAGAGTCTCTGGTTGGCTCTGCAGACCTGCCCTGGCCACTCCTGTGGGCCCAGCACACGAGGCCCAGGCACCAACGATCAGGTCTCCCCAACACCCAGCCGAGGCGTGAGCCTTCCCAGGAGGCAGCTGCGAGGGGCTGATAAGGCCCCGGGGCAGACCGGGGTGAGAGCAGCCACCTCCCAGGTGGGCTTCCTAGGGTCCCTCCGGCCCCACCCCTGCTTCGACGGGTGCTTCAGGGGCCTGTTGGCGAAGCCACCATGGCCAACAGCAAAACTGGTCTCCTCCCATCAACGCCCTCCCTTCCTTGAACGGTTAGTGAGCCCCCCAAAGGCCAGGCTCTGTTCTCGGGCCTGAGATCTGGCGTGGACAAGCTGGACGATTCCCTGCCCCTACGCGGCCTCCTTCTAGTGCAAGATGGAAGGAATGGACGCCCCAGTACTCAGCAGACAAGAGAAGATACAGGGTCGGGTCCTGTTCGGTGCCACTGGCTGAAGCCAGGCGAAGGTAGGGCCGACAGAGACAACAGCGTCAGGCAGGGCTGAGTCCTCCAGGGTTGTCCTCGAGCTACCCAGAGGGAGCACCCAGCCCTGAAGCGAGGGCAACCTGGAGCCCTCAGAACAACCCATGAGGAGGAGGAGCGGAACGGAGGCCAGGAGAGGCCACATCATTTGCCTGACAGTGCACACCTGGCCAGGGGCAAGTCTGGGCTTGACCCTCGAGGTCTGGCTCCAGCCCGTGCAGCCCTGCTGGTGTGGCCTTCACCAGCACGCGATGGGCAGCCCCAGACCCTGAGATGGAGGGATGTGGACCCCCCGCTGCTTTCACCACGGTCCAGGCCCCTCCTCCCAGCCAGGGTGAGTGTGGCCCTAGTGGGGAGAAGGTCCGTCCCCCACCCCCCCGGAAGCTGAGGCCACAGCGCCACGTCTCTCCGGCATTTCTCTTTCTGTGCACAGCTGGTGACAGGGAACCAGCGCGGCTCCCCTTTCAGAGGCTCTTTCTGCTGCTGTCAGGGATGGCGGAGGAAGTGAAAAGCCTGCAGGAACGCATGTCCCAGACTGGAGACGGTGGGAAGGACCAGGGGCCGTGCTTCAGAGGACGGTGCCGAGGGCAGCAGGAGGGCCCCGAGGGCGCAGAGCGGCTGGTGACCCTAACTCCCAGCCCCGCAGAGCCGTCCAAACCAGAAGCTCACGTGGATGGAGACCTGTGCCGCCGGCTGTCCGGGTGTGAGCCCAGGCCTGACCGGCATCCGGGGAGCGTGTGAAATGCAGTTTCCCAGGTCCACCCTGGGCTCACCCCACAGAATTAGAGACGGGGGGCCGTGCCCAGCGACATGGGGATGGCCCTTTCCCCAGCCTCCCTGGAGATTCTGCCCCAGGCCAGCTCTGGAGCGCTGCTTGCGGATTAGGGCAGGCGTGGGCCCTGCTGGGGGCCTGGTGGGGCTGGGAGGGCTACCCCGGACCCCAGTGCCCGCCCGGGCGTGGACACTCACATGGTAAGACGCGTGCTCCTCCCGGTCCATGGGCCGTGTGACATACATCCGGCCTGACATGGAGTCGATGCTGAAGACCTCCATGGGGGGCTGGTCGGCGCCCACGCCAGTGATGCTGTACCGGATGGGGATGTCGTTGTCTTTGTCGGACCGGATCTGAAAGGCAGGAGCGAAGCGAGAAGAGGTCAGCCTGTGGCAAGGCCGGGCCGGGGGCGGGCGCCTGGCATGCATCCCCTCCCACCAGTTCCTTGAGTGTGACCAGTCTGAGGTACAGTGGGGACCACAGCTGGTCCTTCATCCACTTTAGGACCCGGAAGCACAGTCGATGGTCAGGGGTCTACTGAGAGCCACCGACTGCAGGTCCAGGGTCCGTCAGTGACGGGCAGGTGCGCGTATAACACTCCGAGTTCGGTGTCTGCACCGAGAACTCGGACACCTGGCAGACATCCACAACACAGGTGAAGGCAACGGAATGACGGTTTGAAACGGCCTCGTGTTCTGGCACCAAACCCGGGTCACAACAAAGGCAAGAAAACGGAGCGGCCTCCACAGTTCCGAGGGAAAGCCTGGGACCCAGCGCATGTGTGTCTTGGCCTTTCGGATTGTTTAGAAACCACTGAATGACGGTTACTGGGGTCCCAAGTCCAGAGTAAGCTAGGAAAGGCTGCACACTTGGGGAGAAAATGCAAAGACACAGGTGGACGTGAAACTCGAGTTTTCCATGGGGTGGGGAAGGGCCAGGCAAAGGCTTCATTTTATTTTGGACACAGAATGGGATTCATACATGTTTCTGGGGACAGAAAGGACACTCGTAGCATTAAGAATCAGACCTGCCTTTCGCTCAGCTGAAGTGAAGCCTCTTGTAGTGAGGCGGGGGACTTGATCGCCAGCCCACCACAGGTGAGCGGAGCTTCTCAGAGCCTGGGGGCTCCCTCAGGGAAGTGGACGGAGGCCATGGGATTTGAAAGGTGAAATCGAGTGAAATCCAGCAGGTGGAATCAACAGATCCGCATTCAACTTTGAGCATACCTTTGGAATATACTACTTTTTTTCTCAAAGCTCATGGTACTGTGACAACATTTTATAATAAAATGACGGGCTACATTGAAAACTTCAAAAATGCCCTAAAAAGCAAAATGGAACAGGACTTTTTTTTTTGTTTTATTTTTTTAGAGACAGGTCTCTCTCTGTCACCCAGGTGGGAGTGCAGTGGGGCAATCACAGCTCACTTCAGCCTTGACATCCTGTGCTCAAGCAATCCTTCCACCTCAGCCTCCAGAGTAGCTGGAACCACAGGTGCCGGCAACCACACCTGGCTAATTTCTGAAATTCTTTTGTCCAGATAGTGTCTCGCTATGTTGCCCAGGCTGGTCTTGAACTTCTGGCTTTAAGTGATCCTCTCTGCTTGGCCTCCCACAGCACTGGGATTACAGGTGTGAGCTACCCCATTTAACCTAAGACCTTTTACTGAAATGATGCAATTAAAAGTTAACAAGAAAACTGAAAAAGGATCTTTTAGAAATCTAGACGACACTGTAAAATAACCATTGGGTCAACAGGAACCAAAGTTATTTTTAGAGGCTTTAAAAATATTTCTTTTGTTTAATAATAATATAACAATACCACTGTTGTATAGTGAAACCCAGAGACTCAGTCCCTGCAAACCCATAACCTTGAATGTTTTCATAATCAAAATGGAATTACAGCCAATGAACCAACCACTTAACTCCGCAAGGAAAGGAACGAGAAAGCAGGAAGCAGCAGACACCGAGGTCACTGATAAAGATGACACAGAAATTTCCGAATCTGAAAACGGAAAAACAGGCAAGGACAGATTCCAGAGCTGCAGTTAGGGGAAAAGTCCTCCGGAAACCAGCTGCGTCTTTGATAGACTTCGGAGAGAAAAGGTAGGATTTTTAAAAGCGTTTTATTCTCTGTATGTTACGCTAGCACAGGCAAAAATCTTATGCGATTATTTTTTTGAGAAAATATAAAATTTTAAACTTGACTAGGAGAGAATGCACACCTGGAGATATCAATGACTTCAGGAAATTCCTCCCAAAAGAGCTCAGGACAGGTCAGCTTGCCCCAGAGTTTCCTGAAACTTTGCCAGAGCAGAGAAAGAAACAGAAAAAGCAGCCCGCTCAGGTTTATGCAGCTCGAAGACCTCGCTGTGCAGATGCATTCTGAATTCTGAGGACACATAGTGTGACCACTACACCCCCCCACTCCCCTGGCATGGGTGTGGCGCCCAGCGGAGGTGCCGGCGAGCGGGCGGAGCAGTGACTGCCAAGCCTCCTGCATGGCCCTGAGCAGCACTTATCTCAGAAACCGAGGGCTGGCTCCTCACCAGGCACCTCATCTCTGCAGCACGATGACAGTCATAGGCTAGCCTTCATAGAGGTGCCAAACAGCTTTGATAGAGTACCCTTTCCAGTTCAATTTGCACCAGAGAAAGCACGCCATCCCCCAGAGAAACTGCAGTTCGTGGAGAGTTCAGCCTGGTGGGGAACATCTTTCTTCAGCCACACTTAGCATCTGCACCCCAGAGCCGCTCCTGTGCGTAGGAGCATGGTGTCCAGCACACCGGCCACCCCAAGACTGTCTCATGTCGTAACAGAAAAAAGCTGTTTTCCCTATAGGAAGAGGGAGATGCTGTTTCCATCACACAGGTGCCGTGGGGGTCAGTGCCAGTGTGGGGCTGCTCAGGTGCTGGGAGACACGGCCAGGAGAGGAGGTCTGCAGGCCTGTGGTGTGCGGGCACACACCTCTCCTGTGCGCACGTGTGCAGACACATGCACACACTTGCAGACTGTGAGGTGCGTCTTTGCTCCGCCTTACTTTCCCAGGATCAGGTATGCTCTTCCCGGCTCCGCCCTGAGCTGCACACACCAAGCAGGGCTTCGGTGACAGCGACGGAGGGAAGGCTGGGTCTGGGCCCCTCAACAGTAGCTGGCAAAGGCCTCCGACTGGGTCTCAGTCACCCCTCCCTCCACTACCCAACGTCACCAGCAGTGTGACTCCTGCGGCCCTTCCGTGGGCAAAACTCGTCTCTTCTCCACCCATGACACCACGGTGTATGTGGTAACGTCTAGATAGAGGGAAGAGCCTCCCTCCATGTGGCCTCTAATGACTTGCTCCCTCGGGGGTAGGAGAAAGGCCAAGGATCACATTCCCAGGAGAGCGGGCAGCTGAGTGGAGCATGGAGCCCACCAGCCCTGCTGTCTGGGAGCGCGGCGCTTCTCCGAGGGCTTTGGGTGAGGAGAAGGGCACTCGGAGCACACAGCAGGCCCTCGAGGGGCGGAGTGGCACCGGGCTGAGGGGAACACACGGAGCCAGGTCCCGTCGTCCGGAGGCGGGAGGTGGGCGCGAGTGATGGGTCTTCAGCAGCCAGAAGGAGGGTGACGCAGGTTCACCGTGCACTGTGGCTGCAGTTTTGGGGGAATCGATCCCTCTTTCATAGGGAAATTTAATGATGAGACTGCTGAAAATAATCCACCACGTATTTAAAGAGAAAGTTTTTTCAAGGAAATGTCATTACGTTTTGGCCATCAGGCTGCATTTGCTCGTTCTCCAGGCCGGTTCGGGCCTCCTCTGAACCACGGCGGGCAGCGGGCGGCTGTGTGTGGGCTCTGGGCTTCGGCTCTCGGAATGCTCTGAATTCTCCCGCAGTTGACCACATGAAGAAGAAATACGGCCAGATCAGGGGAGAGCCGTTTCCCCTTGATGTGTGTCTGGCAAATGAGAAAAACGCCGCCGAAGCCCACGGAAGGGCGGTGAACAGACAGCAGAGACGCGCGGCCGCCGTGCCCACCGGCTGAGGAGGCCGCGGGGACCCACGTGCTCCTGCGTTTGTTGTTGGAGGACGGGACAGATGGCGGAAGGTTAGTTTAAAGTGATGTCTACATTAAAGTAACTTATGGGGCTCAGCGATCGTGTTCACCCGGGGAATTCCACTTGGCAGGCCGGCTCTGGTCCTCAGAAAAGCTGGATGACATGAAAAGTCCTGACGGAGTCACCCCCGGGAGAGGATTTGCCTGATTTCAAATGAACTTGAAACTGGAGAAAAGTCACCCGGTGTGGTTTTGAATCGCAGACACCGTGGGGGTGGAGTCCCTAAGCTTTCAAGGGAGGAAGCTGGGGAGCGAGAGTGTCCCACCCTGATTCCAGGGGAGGGAGGGACCCACCCGGGAGGGACCCACCCACCGGAACGCCCCTGCACCAGAGCCCCCGCCAGCCAGAGCTGTCCCCCTGCACAGTCAGCGAGGTTCAGCCCACAGACGGACACGAACACTCTCAGAATTAGGGCTTTTCCCACCAGTGATACACCCCCTCAAATTGTACATCAGGATATGGATTTCGGGGCAGAGCAAGGTCTGGGAGAGCCCATGGGGCACGGGGCAAGGAAGGCCTTGGAGAAAGTCAGGGTCAGAGTGAATCGATTTGGTAATGACACCTGATGCTTCCATAGCTAGTGCACAGTGCCAGGCAGTACCCCAGGTGATATGCTTGGGCTCTGTGTCCCCACCCAAATCTCATCTTGCATTGTAATCCCCAGTGTTGAGGGGGAGCCCTGGCGGGAGGTGACTGGATCGAGGGGGTGGTTCCCCCATGCTGTTCTCATGACAGCGAGTGAGTCTCATGAGATCTGATGGTTTCAGAAGCATCTGGCGTTCCCCCAGCTGGCACTTCTCTCTCCTGCCTCCGTGTGAAGAAGGCCCTTGCTTCCCCTTCACCTTCTGCCCTGGTTGTAAGTTTCTTGTGGCCTCCCCAGCCACGCAGAACTGTGAGTCAATTAAAACTCTTTCCTGTATAACCTAGTCTTGGGTGGTATCTTTATAGCAGTGTAAAAATGGACGAATACGCTGTGCATATCACATCTGTTCACCCACTTATCACCACAACCCCACAAGGCAGTGCTGTTAATACAGACAGGGCCATTCACATACGACGCTTCCCTGATACAAACGAGGAAACTGTAGCACAGGGAGGCTGAGTCACTCACCCAAGATCACACAGCTCTCAAGCCCTTGAGCTGGGATCCAGAACCCAGGTGTCCTGGCCCCAGTGCCCCTGCTCTGACCCATCAGCTCCCAGCCTCATTAGGGAAGGTGGCTCTTTAAGACAGTGCCATCGGATGTCCTGGGGCTGATGCT